GCTGCAGCTTCACGGAGGACTGCGAGTGCGGCTTCGAACCCGACCTGCGCGGTTAGGTTCCCATTCTAGGTCGGGGGTGGCACGGCGGCGTTGGGGCGACCGCAGGACGGGAGCCGTCGGACCTTCGCTTCGTAAAGGATTTGCTTTTGCCGCAGGTCTGGAGTGCGAGCTGGCCGTGACCCTGGTGGGGCAGCCCCTGGTGAGGCAGCAGCTGATGAAGGGACTGAGGCGGTTCCTGGAGAAGCGCAGCCCGGAGAAGCCCCTCGTCATGTCCTTCCACGGCTCCACCGGGACGGGAAAAACCTTCGTGAGCTCCATGCTGGTCCGGCACCTCTTCCCCGAGGGGCTGCAGAGCCGCCACGTCCACCAGTTCTCCCCCATCGTGCACTTCCCCCACGCGGAGCACGTGGAGCGGTACAAGGTGAGCGCTGCCCCGCGCTGCGGGTTGCGGCCGTCCCGGCGCTCGGCGCACGCTCAGGCTGCTCCTGAAGACGGCAGGGCTGCGGCTCTGTGCTTCGCTCTCTGCCAGAGATTGGAGCAAAGGCTCCACGCAGTGGCTGCAGGCACCTCTGCGATATGCGCTTCTGTTTTCCCAGCAGCCGTTCTCGCTGTCATTTTCTCCCTCTTTAAATATTTACACGGCCCTTTGAATACGCAGCCAGAGTGTTTCACTTAGTGCCTTTCATCTGAAATTGTCTCTGTGCTTTCCAAATCAATAGCTGGGAAAACCTCTGTATGGCTGTGCTAATTTCCTCCTCACCCAACAAGGAGCTCCCAAACACAGCTTAACCTGTGGCTCCTGCAGCTGACAGAGGAAAGAAATCCAAAGGTGGAGGTTTTCCAAATGAAACCTCAGCAGTGGGGAAACCAGCACACGTGGATATTTTCCTTCTGGGTGTTTGGAGGAGTCGTGTGTTCTTTTGCATCCTTACAAGAAATGTGCTCGGTAGGGTAAAGCCTCGTGCTGGGTAAAACGATGCAATTAGGACTTACACTCGTATCCAGGGGACCTAAGTGTTCGTGTGTGGGTTGGCACTGATGTAACTTCAGCTGTAGTAAGGAAGAGGAGAGCTGTTCTCATTTGGTGCAGGCACACAATTCTGCACCAGAAAAGGAGGTGACAACAAGCACGTCTCCCTCCCTGTAACTGGGAACTGTAATGCAATGAAAGAGAAGAATGTAGAGAGCTGTAGGAGGCTGAAAACCCAGCTTTAGTTTGCTGCCTCCTTCTCACTGCTTTAAATCTGCAATAGAAGACCTGTAATGAGCTAATAAACGGCACAGATAAGTCACCGTGCCAGGCCCAGGACAAAGCAGCCTGCCTCAGGGCTGGCTGTTCCTGCTCTGAGTAGGTGATGCTGCACAGCTACTTCTGTGCTTCACCTCAGCCCTTGCACTGCAGTAGCTCAGGCCTCCCTCGCTGCTTTATGGTCTGGTGGGTATTTTTCCTAGGAGAACCTGAAGCACTGGATCCAAGGGAACTTGACGAAGTGCGGACGGTCGGTCTTTCTCTTTGAGGAGATGGACAAGATGCACCCGGGCCTGATTGATGTGATCATGCCATTCCTGGGACCCTCGTGGGTCGTGTATGGGACCAACTACCGCAAAGCCATCTTCATCTTCATAAGGTGAGGTGCCCCTGTGTGGCAGTGGGGCATCACGGGGCATTCCAGTGCACTGCTTTTCACATGGGCGCAGCACGATGCCTACTTCAGAACACCCTTTCATTTTGCTTTTCCTTTTGCAAGCGTTGAGCTTCTGCAGAAACCAGCAGATGTTATCTCCTCGTGAACAGTCAGAATTGGAGTGTCTGAAAAAGCTCTCCCCTTCCTGTTATTTGCTTGCCTTTGCAGGAGTCCTTTTAGGCCAGGCAGCAGAGCAAGCCTGGACTGAGCTCACGCAGGCTGGAGGATGACAGATGCCACCTCTGTCCTGCAATACCACTGTCCTGGGTAGTAAGTTGTCTTATTCTTGTTACTCCTGCAGCAACGCAGGAGGAGAGCAGATCAATGAAATGACACTGGATCTGTGGCGTGCCCACCGGGACCGGGAGGAGATCAGCCTGCAGGACATGGAGGCAGCCATCTCCAAAGCCGTGTTTGAGAACCCTCAGAGTGAGTGAACCTGCAGCGTTTCAGCAGGGAGCAGAGCCCAGCAGAGGGAGCCAGGCCCACTCCACACAGCCACAGATGCTCTCTGGGATCTCCTAAGCAGGCAGAAGGGGACAGAAATTTGAAGGGAAAGGAGTGGTGAGCTCCTCGAGGTTTTCTGGCAGAGGGAAGGAATAGCCTGCTTCCCAAGCCAGCAAATCTGTTAGCATGCTTAGCAAAATTCTTTGGAGAAAATGTGTATTCAGATAAAGTATGGCAAGCAGCACAGCACACTCACTGAAAAGGCACTGGGAATCAATCCCTGCTGCCTGCTTTGTCCTTGTCACAGAGCAGAGCTTAAAATCTGAGCAGCTCAGTTAAACCTAACCATTCCTGGGGAAAGACAAATCTATCTGGGGAAGGAGAGGTTGACAGCTGTTGGTTTAAGTCCTTGTACAAAACGAGCAGATCTGTCTTCAGCCGAGTACTCTGACTTCAAACAAAGCAGTTCCTTGAATTCCAAGGACCACAGACTCCAGAAGTAAAATCTCCTGTCTCCTCCTTTGCTTTTGTAGGTGGATTCTGGAAATCTGGGATTATTAATGAACATCTCATTGATTTTGTCGTGCCCTTCCTCCCCCTGAAGCACCACCACGTAAAGCAATGCGTCATCAACGAACTTCTGCAGCAAGGGTTAGAAGTACGCCAGGGTGTTGTCCAGGAGGTGGCCGACAGCATCCCCTACTTCCCAGAAGAAGAGAAATTATTCTCATCAACAGGATGCAAAACTGTAGCCTCTCGGATCAGTTTTTTCTTCTAGCCTTGCTCAGATCCATATGGGGTTGTAAAGCTGCAGACTGGTGGGACGAGCACCAGGAGCCGTGTGCTGCCATGCAGTAGCACAAATGTCCTCCTGCTGAATTTGTCTTTCCAGCCCCAAGGGCACTACTGCAGAATGCAACTGTGGGAGCAAGTGCAAGTGATTTGATTTACAGCACTTTATCATTCATTCTGTGGCCAGGTGAAGGTGGTTATGCCCAGCCTGGTGCACCACTCGAGTCGTACCTGTGATGAAGAAGGGAAGATGTCAGGAGAGACTGCAGTGTCAGGGAGGCTTCTTACCCTGTCAGCAACACCAATCTGCAGCTCTCTCCTCTTCTGGCAGCTTCTGCTATCCAATGCATGAAGATTCTGAGCCCAAAAAGGAATTATTTTTTTTAAATACATTATTTTAGCATTTTTAAAAGCCATCTTTTAAGCATGGCAGTACCTCAGTTCCTTGGTACAACGTGACAGTGCTGGTGCTGACTGCTGCGTTGCTGGCTGGTGAACACCCTCAACATTACCCTTTTCATTGAAAGGAAATTTTAGAGCCAACTTCTTCCCAGTTTCCTTTCACTGTGAATAGGTGCTGGTAGGGAGCACCAACAAAAATAGGGACACAACCAGGGAATATGGCAACGCTCAGCCTGCCAAAAACTCAGCTTCCCTACTTGTCCTTCTGCTCATCTTTCCCCCAAGGTCCAAAGGATTTCTCTGCAGCAAACCGTGGAAATGAAAAAAAACAGGACTTACTTACAAAAAAAAAAAAAAAAAGTTCATTCCTACCTCCAGAGGAGACCGTGGTGACACTGATGGTTTTTAACAATACTTTATTCAATGGTAATTTCTACAGCAGGCTGAGCAATTGGTGCTATGAGCTCTTGAGCTTCTTTGACGTCCTTCTGCTGGTCAGACGTTGCAGGTACTGGAAGAACCAGCTCTGCTCAGCTCCACAGGAGTGCCACTTATGTGGGGACCTGAGGACAAGATAGAGAAGTTTGTACTCCATGCTGTCAAGCATGGCGGGCGTATGGCACTGCTGGCCTTTGTCCACTTTAATCTCTGCAGTCGGTTACTGGAGCACAGGTCAGATAATCATTCCTACTCTGAGAATGAGCTGCCTGAGGGGGTTGTGTGAATGGGGACATGGCTGAGGGTCCCTGATGTTCCTCTCGTGCCCTGGGCTGAAATGAGCTGCTAGCACTCAGGACCATTCCAGCCTTCCTCCAGCTTCGTGGGCAGCCATTGGAGGAACAGCCTAAATGCAGCCCAGGAGCTGGTCCATGTACAGACCATCCTGCCTGCAGAAATGGTAGCATTTCTAATTTTAAAATAAATCTTTTATGAAATAAATGGTTGAGGAACAGTCATTTGCTTGGATTCCTAACAGCAGCAATCATGGACAGAGTTAGACTCGCATTTTCATGGGCACAGCTGCCTGGTGCAGTAGCACTTTGGGGATTTAGAGGCATAAAGATGATGCTCTATAATTAGGTAACAGGAAACAAGACTGTGGCCTTTCCCAGGGGTGGAGGTGAAACAGCAGTCACTGGCCCTGACACCCTGCAGAGGAGCCAGTGTAGGTACAAGAAAGCCACAAGGTCTGTCCTGCCACAGCTGCAGGCAGCCCATTTTTCCCCTGTGCAGAGCACATCTCTGCATACAAGGCCTTGTTCCCAGGACTGTGCCAGTGCAGAAGGTGAAACCCACACAACCTCTCCTGCCATCAGCAGCCTGGGGACAGGCACCAGTGCCCAGGCAATGCTGCAGGTCTACAGCAAACACCCATCAGACCCTTCAGCTAAGAGGGCTGAGAAGGAACGAGGTTCTGCTTGGAATGTTTCCCCACATGTAGACATTCCAGCAACCTACTGATGCCTTTTAGGTGCAGACAGTGGCAAAAAGCCTTTGGCAACAAGAGTAATTCAGCAGTTAAGTAGCCAAAATGTGTTTCTGTGCTCCAGAGCAAAGCCCTCATCAGAGTTTGAACAAACCCAGTTTAGAGCATGCAACAGCAGCAGGCTAACACCCAAGACAAATTACCCCACCACCACCGGCACACACCTACTGCTTCTGTCCATCAGGCATCATCAGATGGAAGTCTTGGAGGACTCTGAAGTGTTTTATCCGAGGTCTGTTGGCCAAGGCTCCTCAGGATAGCCTGGACAGTCCTCCTTGGGAAGAGGCGGCGTGCAAGGGAAAGGATCTGCAGTGGCAACAAGGCAAGACCTGAACATCCTCCTGACATATCAGCACTCACAGAAAAACTTGCCTGCAAAGAGCTCTGCACCACAGGTTTCCCCTGCTGCAGCCAAACACCTGACGGCCCCACCAGGACCTGCTCTGACAGGGAACCTGTTTGGTTTTATTTTGTAAAGAAATCCCAGATCTGTTGAACCGTGCTGCTATGACAGTGCAATGCTTGGAGGCAGCAGTGAGGGGATACTCTCCCCTTGCCCGCAGTCAGCTGCAGAAGGGCTTCTGCCCTGGATTAGATTTAAAGAAACAAGAAAGTGAGAATAAGCAGAAGACAATCTGACCAATGACTCTAACGCCAAACTCTTGTAAAAGCCAACATATAACCATTGCTGCTTGGCTTGGACCTGTAGCCTAGCAGGTCCCCCAGCTCATGTTCCTTGATCCCTGCAGGTGGCCCTGATGCAGAACAGAAACCACCCAACCATCAGGCACAGTGCCTGCAGCTGAGCCAGGAATGCTGCCCGTTGCCTGAGGAGGGCACAGAGCAGCAGTAGCAGGGCTGTACCTTGCTATCCTTGGCGCTGAGGCACAGGCTGAGTGCAACATCCTCCTTTGAGCTCTCCACCTTCCCTAGGCACCGCTTGGCCACGGCACGGCACAGGTAGTGCAGTGCTTCTTGGGGGTCGTGTTCAATGGCCATAGAAAAGCAAGCTTCTGCCTGCAGGAACCGCCTGCGAGGGGACAGCAGTGTGTGTCTGGCTCACCACAGGCCCTCAAGCAGCCTAAACCGCCCTGCTCTCACCTGGCTGCCACGTCCTGCCAGCCTTTCTCATGCAACACAGCCGCAACGCGGCCCTGCACAGCACGGTTCCCTGGACTCAGCTCCAGCGCCTGCTGGTAATCCGCCATGGCGTAGGTCAGCTCCCCCAGGCGAAAGAAGCAGTCTGCAGAGAAGAAGAAGGGCTCAGCAGGGCTGAGAGAGGCTGGCTGCTGCCCCAGGGCTTTATCTAGAACCAGTGGGAAACACACACCTCGTGTGCAGCCCTCCTCAGGTTTCAGCATCATAGCCAAAGTCTGCGCTGCAACAAGCAACACATGCAGCCTGATCTGGGGGAGAGCAGCAGTTGCCAGCTGTGCCCCAGAAGATACTATGTGGGGAAGGAGTAATAGCACCAGTGGCAAATCCCCACTCCTCATCCCCTTCCCGCTGCTGAAACAGTGCACTGGGATCAGGATCAAGGGAGAACCCAGCTGCCCCACCTCCTGCTTTTGCCACAGGTCTCTAACACAGGGCTGCAGAGCAAGGCCTCTCTCTGCAGACATTCACTGCCTCAGTGCCAGCCACTGCTGTGTGACACCCCAGCATTATCCACAAGCCACTGACGTTACCCTGCTGTGACAACCAGCCCTGCCACTTGCCTCCTCTGTTGGTGTAGAGTCCCTGCTCTGTCCTTTCATTTTGCAATGCTTCACCAAGGAGCTTTACAGCCTCATCAAGTTGGCCCAGAGCATAGCAGTGCACAGCACAATCATTGTAGGTGAGCACCAGCTGCCGCTGAGCCTCCCGGGCCTCTGGGCTCCCCACTGTGCTCAGCTCCCTCGCCCTGACCAAGTCCTTGCTGGCTGCACTGAAGTTCTTGAGCTGTCGGAGGAGAGTCCCCCTGTGACACAGGGACAGAGAAAGGAAACTCAGACAGCAGTACAGCTAATTACCTGCAGCAAAACGATCGCTACCTGAGGGTGAAGAATTCAGCAGCCAACGGGTCACTCTCAATAGCAAAGCTGATCTCATCCAGGGCCCCACGCAGGTCTCCACACAGGGCCTTCAACACTGCCTGGGCTTTGGCCTCCTGGCCTTGTCTCAGCAGCCTCTGCCACAAAGCCTGGGCAGCTCTGTGCTGCGGTTCCAGCTTCAGGGCCCGTTGGATGTCCTGGTGGCACAGGGCCAGCTGCCCAGAGGGCCGGCTACCTTCAGGACCTGGTACTTCCTACTGTGGCCCCATGTCCAGGAAGGGTAGCCAGGGTCCCTCAAAGGGACCAACATGGTCATACCTGCCCAAACCGCTTGTAGAAGAAGGCACGGAGCACATACATATCAGGGTTCCTCACATCCTCCTCCAGTTCTCTGTTAAGCATCCGGAGGAACTCTGGGAACTCGCCAAGGGCAGCAAGGCACACGATGCTGCAAGAGAGGGACAAGGCTATGGGGAGCCTGCAGTAAGGCAGGGCCAGCCTGCTGAACAACCTGCAGCCCTGGCTTCACCTCCTCTGGTAGAACACCCTGCAGTGAGGCTGCAGCTCAGCTGCCTGTATGAAGGCCTTCAGGGCCTCACTGTAGAGCTCCTGGTCCAGCAGACTCTGGCCCTGCAGGGATAGCCAGTCAACATGGTCACAAGTTGGGGCTGCAGATGGGGAGAAGTGAGTGGTTGCTCACCTGCAGGTCAAGGACAAGAGCCAGACGAGCCAGGCAGTGCTGTTCTTGTGCAGGTGCCAATGCAAGCACCTTCATTAAGTTCAACTTGGCTGACTGGAAGTCACAAAGCTGGAGGAAAGCCTCTGCCCGCTGCTCATACAGCTCTGCCTGCACCATGGACACCCTCAGCCCGTGCTGCCAGGGCCCAGCTATACTCCAAGAGCCCAGAATCATGCTGGCACCATGCTAACACCATAGCAAAGAGCACCCTGAAGCGAGGTGCCAGTGCTACAGGCTTAGCAATGCTACCTCCTGCTCCCAGCTCTCCAGGGTCCCATTACCCGCTGTGGATCCAGGTTGATGGCTTTTGTATAGCAGATGATGGCTTCTTCCCACTGGCCACAAGAGGAGAAGCCCCGTCCTTTCTGCCAGCTGCAGAGAAGAAGAGCCATAAGCTGGGCTCACACTGCCCAACAGGGAGACTGTCACAGAGCCCGGACACACATGTGGCTGGAGGGCAGCAAGGAAAGGTGGTGGACGTGAGGACTGCCCTAAAGGCCGCTAAGGACATTCTGAGCAGGGAAGGCAGCAGTGTGAACACAGAGCAGCACCCAGGCACTTACTGCTCCTGCATCCTGCCCTGCACAATGGCGGGAAGGGATCCCACGCCCCTGGGGCGCTCCACGCTGCGCAGGCACTGGCTGGGCCCGAACAGCCTCCGCAGGGCCCGGTCCCAGCCGCCCTCCAGCTGCTCCTCGGGCACGGCTGTAGCAAACAGCTCCGGGGCCTCCATCTCCGCTCCCACCTGCGGGCTCAGCCCAGCGACCCCGGCTGCATCCCCAACCCCTGCCCTTCCTGAAGGGCCCCACTACAGCCACAGGGCACCCGAGCGACCGCCAGAACGGCGAGGAGGGAAGAAGCACGGATCGTGCGCCGGCCCCGCAACGCCTCACGGCCCCGCCCCGCCGCCTGCAACCAAGATGGCGGCGTTGCCCGGAAGCAAGATGGCGGAGACGCCCTCAACCAAGATGGCGGCGGGGCCCCCGAGGGCCTTGCTGGCTGAGGTCCTTGCAGATACAGACCGGGCGTCGTCCCGTGTCGGGGTCACTTAGAGGCTAACGGGGGGATTTGTCCTTCTCCTCAGCGGGACGCTGCGGGGTCTGGCCTGTGTTTGCACCCTGCAGCGTGCTTGACCCCCCACAGGACAGTGCCGCCCCACCTCAGGGCTCGCAGTCCCCGGCTCCCACTGAGCCTTGTCCCACACGAAGCCCCGCTCCAGTTCTCCCCCTTTTTTCCTCCTCTCCCTCCTCCTCCCTGACGCTGTCTGGCAGCGCAGCGAACATGGAAACAATCGGCGTGGCTGCCAGGCCTGGCAGGAGCGCACAGCCCTGGCGCAGCCCAGCACAGCCTCTTCCAGACCCGTGTTCTTTGGAGCCGGGCCCCGCACAGCCGGGGCAGCCATGGGGCAGCTCCAGCGCCGTCCCCTCACCCTTCAGCTGCCTGCGGGGGCCCAGCGCCTTCTGCCCCTTCACCACTGCCGTCCTCAGTCCCTCCCTGAGGTCCCTGCTGTTGGCTGCAGCCTCGCTCAGAACACCCCAAGCATTCCCCTGCACAAACATCCCTTTCCCCTCAGCATCTGTTGGTGCCCCGCATCGTGGCTGTGCAGTAAAGGTGTCCCAGCACCCCGTGGCACAGAAAGGCAGAGCTGCCTGGAATTTCCTAGCTCACCAGCAGACCAGTCTGCTCCCACGGAACTGGAACAACTAGTGGAGAGGTTTCAGGCTGTCATAGTTTCTGAGTTAGGCTGTTTTCTGCCAAAACATTGGAGTTTTTGAAAGCTCCTGGCCAGCTTTGTTACAGCTCTCCTGCCAGAGCTGCTAGGGAATGCCTTCTATGCTCCAGCACCACTTCAGCATCCCAAAAGCTTGGTGTTCTGCTGCATGTGTCCTGTTTGAGCTACAACCTGCAAGCACAGCAGCTCCATGCCCACATCCCAGCAGGCACTGGAACGCACCCTGGGACCTGCCACCTCCTTCCTCTGCTCCAGCTGGCACCCAAACTTCACCCTCTGCTTACAGCTCCCATCCCAATCTCCTCACCCTGCAAGGTCTGCATCCAGGATACCTCAGCCACGGGAGCAATAGAGGGGAGAGCAGCAGCTCTGGGGACTTGGCAAGAAGCTCACCTCTCCCCCAGCCTACCCAGACTAGGGTCAGTTGCAGCATTTTCAAGGGACTTGCTTCTCTTCACCAGTTTTCAACCAAGAATTGCCCTGCAGAGTGTTCACTTGCTCTGGGGACTTGAAGTTTTAGCGCAAAACAAACACTCTTGTAAAGCAAACATCCTCCTCCAAATCTGGCCACAAACGTGACACATGCCAGAGACCAGCAGGACTCAGCTGCAAATCCCGGTGCTCAAATTAGCAAAAGGTTTTCAGTCCAAAGGCCAAAACCTCTGCTGAGAGCATCAGAACAAATGAGGGAAGGCACTGTCATCGGTGTTACCTGGGGGCAGCTCTGCCCAGCACAGCTTGCAGCCAGGAACGTCAGCTCCAACACAGTTGGTTTTAATCCTCCTGGGCTTCGGCCCAGATATGGAACAGGCAGAGGTGGCAGGAGGCCACATGTGCACTTCCAGGGCCTTCCCCCCTCCTCCTGAATCAGCAAATCCACATGCGACGTCCAAAAAACAGTTTGCACTACTCAGGAGAGTACAGAGCCAGAGCACCACAGTCTGGCAGCCCCTCCGTCTGTCTAGGCACCATTTTGCCAACAGCCCCAGAGACAAATCCCACTCTGGAGCATGCCGTGGGGAGAACCTAATCCACGATGGTCCCCCCTGGGTCACGATGCCTGGTCCCTATGGAGAAAAGCAGTGAGCATCCCTGCTAGTGGTCCAGGCAGGAGTAAGCCCTCTGCTCACCGATGCCTTCCCATGGGTGGGTGAGGAGAGTCTGGCTGCTCCCAGGGGGTGTCCACGTCCAGCACCAGCACCCTCAGAGCTCATCGTGGGATGCAGAGCGAAGATACCCCCCACCATCCCGCAGGTCCCTCAGGCTCTTCTGTGAGCCCACCCAGCCTGTCTGTTTGGAGTCATCATCCCAGATGGTGGAGGTCTCCGTGTCGCTCAGCCAGTTGCTGTCCCCGGCGTAGTGAGTGGGATAAACCAGGAGTGGGTGAGCCGAAAACACCTGCAGGTCCCGTGGGGCAAAGTGTCGCTTGTAGTCCTCGCTGGGGAAAGCAGGAGGAGAAGGACATGTAAGGAGCGATGGAGAACACAGCAATGGAGTGCGTGCACGGGGGATGGCACTGTTTTGAGAGTGACACTGGCACCAGAGATGCTGTGTGCTCAGAGAGCCCCCTCCCCTTCCAACCCTTCATTTTACCGTCCTGCTCTCCCCTTTGCCCACATCCTCTCCTCCAGCGCTTGCCCACCTCCAGCTGCCTCCCCTCCAGGACCCCCCACCCGGTGAGGTGCCCCCAGTGAGGCTGAGCCCTCCACAAGGCCAGCCCCACACCCCAGCTCCATCCCTGCAGCCCCGTGCTGGCAGAGGGCCATTTTCCAGCAGCCGGCGGCCAGGCGGGGCTGGGGGGGAATGAGCTCATGCTGCAGATGTTTTCTTCCAGCCAGGGCGGAGGGGAGAGACGGGGTGGGATGGTGGCAATGGAGAAGAACCACATGTTCCCACAGCAGCGCAGCCCTGCTCCTTACTTGGGGTGTTTGTCGTACATGATGGGCAGGAACTCATCCACAGGCAGCATTTTGGAGAGGGGCTCAGCAGCCAGCAGCTTCTGCGCACCACGGAGGGAGATGGCGTACGCCAGGGTCCAGTAGGAATACCCAGCTACCACCAGGTTCCGGACACCCTCCACAGGAACTTCATCCTCTGCGTTCACCTGCTTCCTCCCCAGGTAGCTGCAGGGCGAGTGGTCAGAGCCGGCCCAGCGCTCGCCCCGCACCCCTCGTCCCCAGCACCTACACGAGGTCCCAGTCGTGCCGTGCCCCCTCCAGTTCCTCCATCAGCCGCTGCAGCCGGGCTGGGAAGGACACCTCAAAGCGCACATCGTCCTCAAAGACCAGCACCCGCTGCAGCCCCTGGGACACGATCTGTGGGGAGGACACAGAGCTGCTGCCATATTGGGTTATACTGTGCCATACTGGGGCCACTCACCCTGAAGAAGAGACCCCCTCCCCAAGTTCTCCTGACAGATGTTGTACAGAGGGTCCCTACCCGTGCTGGTGCCCCTCAGCCCCATACCTCCTTCCAGATGTTGTAATGGCTCAGGAAGCATCCAACCTCCCCTTTGGTGAGCGTGCGGCCAGAGAAGGGGTCATAGTACCCCGGCAGCAGGTCCACTCCCAGCACCTTGATGTCACTACTGTTGAGGGTGCTGCAAGGTGAAAGGGTGGATCAGCACGGTGTCCCCAGCACCCAGCTCCCTCCCAGGGTGACACTACTCTGTCACCTCCCATCCACTGCATCCACCACCCGTGCAGCGATCTCCAGCTCCTGCAGGGACTCCAGCATCCGCCGGCGCCGGTCCGGCCGCCTCACCAGATTGATGAGGAAGATCTGGGGAGGAAGAGAAGAGTCTCACCGGGGCAGTGGAGGGAGGGCACATCACTGCAGTGTGAGACAGGGGACACGGGGTCGGCTGAACACCAGGGTAGGAGGTGTGAAAGGGAGGCATGGGGGGCAGGTACCTCATCAAAGCCCAATTTAGTGAGCGGTTTGGGTGGGACGGAGATGTGCCTGGAGCGCTGCATGGGGGGACCATCCACTGCAGAGAGATGGAAAATCCCTTCCATGGAGCCTGCAGCCCTCTGTCACTGCCAGGAACAGCACGGGGACCCCCTGGAGCTCACCCATGGCCTCCAGCGTGAGATGCACAAAGTTGACACGCTCATCCTCCAGAGTCTGGTGAGCCTTCACAGGGACGTTGATGTAGCCAAAGCGCTGCTGGTTGCACACGTGGACCTCAGCACCTGCAGGGCGAGGGGGTGAGCATCACAGAGGCTGACCCAAGCCCCCCCCAGACCACTGATCCTCACCGGCCTCCTGGCAGGAGTAGGCAAAGACAATGATGTCGTCGAAAGCCCAGGTGTAGTTGGGATGGGGTGGGTAGAAGGCCAGCTGTGCTGTCTCCTCCTTCCGCAGGTCGATCAGGAAGGTGGCGTACACCATGGGCACGGCGAAGCAGCCCCGGCGCTGCCGGTTCTTGGTGGGGAAATAGTCAGCCGTGCGGCGATAGAAGCCCTGTAACACAGCGGTGTGACAGTGCCAGTGCCAGGACACAGTGCTGGGCAGCCCCCCGGGGCTTCTGGGCCGTACCTGGGGCGTTATCCCGCACCAGAAGTTGGAGTAGAAGGTCTGCGAGTCCAACATCGGGGCCACCACCGACTTGTTCTGCGCCATGAGGAAGGTGAGGGTCTGGTTGTTGGTCAGGATGCTGTCTGTGTCCACAAACTGCGGGGACAGAGCTGGTGCTGGAGGTGTGGGGACACCCACACCCCATGTATCCCATCTATCACGACACCCGCCTGCTGCCTTCTCCCTACCAGGATGTAATCTGCCCGCAGCCCCCGGGCGTAGCTCAGAGCCTCCTGCTTCAGCCTCATCAGGTTTTCATAGCGTTTGTCGCTCCAGTGCTTGGGGCCGAGCTCATCAGGGTAAGCACTGTGCAGTGGGGGGAAGGCAGAGGGTTAACAGTGCGGGCTGGGAACGCACAAACTCAGTGCACACACTGCATGCCGTCCGCCTGAGTCAGCGCCGAGCTGAGCTGGCAGCAGCACGCATGCAAAAAGCCCTGCAAAAACCCCGTGTGCACGCAGGGGAGAGGTGCAAGGAGGGGGGAGCAACACGGGGTTGTCCCCCCTTGGCCGCACCTGGGCCCCTCTTCTGCCTTCCATGTCACCGAGTGGTAATTGCTGCCCACTGCCTGCAGCCATTCCTGCAGCATCGCCGTCGTGTTGTCTGAGTTGTGGTCTGTCGCACACCTGGGGGGGGTGAAGGGGGGGATGTCAGTCCCGCGGTGCTTGGGGTCCTTGGGGACCCCCCGGGCACAGACCCCTCCCTGCCCTGCCACACCGAGAGGCTGAGCTGCAGAGGGGAGCAGGGCTC